AATTTTTTGTATTTTTAGTAGAGATGGGGTTTCACCGTGTTAGCCAGGATGGTCTCGATCTCCTGACCTTGTGATCCGCCCACCTAAGCCTCCCAAAGTGCTGGGATTACAGGCATGGGCCACTGCACCCGGCCCCAGCTTGAATTCTTAATGACAATATTGGTTATTTTCAGAAAATAGGACAAGGTAATTTTCTCAATCTATACATTTTTCAAGGCATTTCTCAAGCAAACTCCTTTTCCACAATTTAATAGGGTATCCACATCAAGTCATTCCAGGTAAATGTACTACCAAGCCCTACTTATCAGTAAAAACGCATTTTATGAACTTACCTTTACCTCCACTTAGTGGTTTTAAGTAGAGTGCCAAATCCTCAACGCATTTCTTTGCAACCTCATAGTGTTTATTCTCACCTAGATTACTTAACTTAATTGACTGATGATCTGGTACCTTAAAAAAAAAAAAAAAAAGAAGTATTGCAGAAATATTCATTCAGTTCATGCAACTATTATTTATGTACTTGGTAATAATCTTGGTGAGTATAAAATTATAACGCATAGATACTACATGAAAGTCATTTAAGTAAAATTAAAGTCAAACACCTAGCCAAACTGCTTTCTATAAACCAAAAATGAGGCCAGTCATGGTGGCTCAGGCCTGTAATCTCAGCGCTTTGGGAGGCCAAGGAGGCAGATTAACTGAAGTCAGGAGTTGGAGACCAGCCTGGCCAACATGGTGAAATTCCATCTCTACTAAAAACTACAAAAATTACACAGGTGTGGTGGTGGATGCCTGTAATCCTAGCTACTCAGGAGGCTGAGGCAGGAGAATCTCTTGAACCCAGGAGGCTGAGGTTGGAGTGAGCTAAGATTGCACTGTGCACTCCAATCTGGGTGACAGAGCGAGACTCCATCTCAAAATAACAACAGCAGCAGCAACAACAAAAAATAACATACTTAATAGCAGGACCTGTGTGGATTAATGAAGAAAGAAAAGAAGCAGAAAGTTAACAGTATTGTATCAATGCTAATTTCTTGGTGTTGGATGTTAACACTAGGTTAAGCTGCGGAAAGTTATACAAGTTCTCTAAATAGTATCTCTTGCAACTTTTTTGTAAGTCTGAAAGAATTTCAAAATTAAAGAGTGGAGAAAAAAGGCAGAGTTGTTTTTTCTTTTCCCCCCATAGCACTTATCACCTTTTCACTATATTATTTACTTAAGATAAGCATTATAAGATAGAGTGTTTCCATTCAAAGGTCAAAACTTGGGTAAAAATTGCAGCTCTGCTACTTCTATGAATGACCTTGAGTAAATTACTTAATTGCTCCAAGTCATAATTTCCATATCTGCAAAATGAAGATGGAAAATCTGTATTTTGTAGTGTCACTACGAAAGTGCAATATAATTCAACAAATATTTATATTTATGGAGAGCTTACCATGCACTGGGCACAGTTATAGGTACCAGGGATATATCAATGAGCAAAACAGACAAAATGTTTTGCCCTTGTGGAGCTCACATTCTAGTGGACAGTAGAAGAGGCAGCCAATCAATAAATTAAAAACATAATAAATAAATATGTAGTGTTTCAAGAGGTGAAACTATAGAGTAAACATAAGGGGGACTGGAAATACTAGCGAGGGGTTACAATTTTAATTAGGGTGGTCAGGATTGGCTCCTTGAAAACTGTGAGATGTGAAAAAAGAATGTGAAGAGAGAGGCTAGGCATGGTTGCTCATGCCAATAATCCCAGCATTTTGGGAGGCCAAGGTAGGCAGATCACTTGAGGTCAGGAGTTCGAGACCAGCCTGGCCAACATGGTGAGACCCCATCTCTACTAAAAATACAACAGTTAGCTGGGCATGGTGGCGCGCACCTGTAATCCCAGCTACTCGGGAGGCTGAAGCAGGAGAATCACTTGAACCTGGAAAGTGGAGGATGCAATGAGCTGAGATTGGGCCACTGCACTCCAACCTAGATGACAGTGAGAGTCCATCTCAAAAAAAAAAAAAGAAAATGGAGAGAGACTGAACATTCTAGGCAAAGGTAACAGTCACTATAAAAGCCATCAGGTGGCAATATACTTGGTATATCTGAGAACTGGCTAAGAAGCCAGTGTAGCTTAAGCAGAATAAGAACAGTAGTAGAAGAGGTAACAGAAGTCACATTGTAAAGACCTGTAAGCAATTTAAGGACCAACGGAGATAACATTTACAAATGATATTAACACAGTACCCGCTGACCTATAGCAAATGCTAAATAAATGGTAGCTAGTTTTTCCGCATTTTTTTTGAGATAGGGTCTCACTCCGATCACCCAGGCTGGAGTGCAGTGGCATGATCTTTGGCTCTCTGCAGCCTTAACCTCCTGGGCTCAAATGAACCTCCCATCTCACCATCTCAGCCTCCCAAGTAGCTGGGACTACAGTCACACACCACCACGCCTGACTAATTTTTGTATTTTTTGTAGAGATGGGGTTTCACCATGTTGCCCAGGCTAGTCTCGAACTCCTGGCCTCAAGCGGCCTGCCCACCTCAGCCTCCCAAAGTGCTGAGATTACAGGCGTAAGCCACTGGGTCTCGTGGTTAGCTAGTATTCTGACAAAAAGTTTATATTTTATCAAATCTAAAATGTTATTGTTTGCAAGAGACATTATTTTATACTCCATTAACAAAAATATATTGCCAATTAAATTAAGATATACTATCAATTGTAGATGCACCTTGATTTCATGGTGTGTAACTTGATTATAAACACTGAAAAGAGATTTTGTGCTTTACAAGGAGGACTTCAAATTCAAGATACTAAGGGAATGAATGAAGTATTTTGGTTTATTGGATTTTCTATCAAATCAGAAAAATAATTCCTTTTTGGCTTTAATATGTAGTACATGATGTATAGAATTTCATCTTCTTCGTAACCTGTAAAATGGGGATAATAACCACCTGAAAAGCTATGGTAAGAATTAGTAATAATAAATGCTGAATACTTACTGTCAAACCTAATGTAAAGTAGACCCTCATTAAATAGAAGTTATTTCAAATCTAGAGTCTTGCTTTGATTCAATAAAATAATTACAAACACGAATTCTATAGCATATGTTCTTTTTTTTTTTCCCTAATGTTCGACTCAGGCATCACATAGCTCAGAGGTATCTTCTGGCTTCTGTGGGCCACACTGGAAGAACTGTCTTGGGCCACACATAAGATACACTAACACTAACAATAGCTGATGAGCTTAAAAAAAAAGAAAGTTTACGAATTTGTGTTGGGCCACATTCAAAGCTGTCCTGGGCTGCATGCAGCCTGAAAGTCAGACAAGCTTGATATAGCACATGGTCATAAGAAATCATGCAGAATTTATTACTGACACATTGGTTTTTGGTTTTCCATATAAACATCCCTACATAGACCTTATTTTCTCATTTGCACTATTATACAAAAAGTTAAGTGAAGTAAAAAAGAGTAACAACGACAACAGAAAAACCTGTTTCTGGTCAAAGCTTTGATTACATTTCTTTTCATATCACCTAGTGAACAAATATGTACACTTACATAAAAATGTTTCTTATCCACCAAAATCACTTACATACATAAATTTTAGCCACAGAATTAAAGAAATATGTAACTATAATATAATCTATGGTTTGTATAAGGATATGACATTATCTAAAGAAAATCTTTCGCAGAATACAATCATGAAAATCAGGTACATTGAGATTTATTTTTTACACCTTAATGATCACTAAACATACTTTATACCTATTACTGAACAAAGTTCAATAACTATTTCATGTAACAAATTATTAGGTTGCTGCAAAAGTAACTGCAGTTTTTGCCATTAAAGCCACGTAAGATGGCCGGGTGCAGTGGCTCATGCCTGTAATCCTAGCACACTGGGAGGCCGAGGTGGGTGGATCACCTAAGGTCAGGAGTTCCAGATCAGCCTGGCCAATATAGTGAAACCCTGTCTCCACTAAAAATACAAAAAAAATTAGCTGGGTATGTTGGTGCGTGCCTGTAGTCCCAGCTACTTGGGAGGCTGAAGCAGGAGAATCACTTGAACCCGGGAGGTGGGAATTGCAGTGAGCCCAGATTACGCCACTGCACTCCAGCCTGGGACACAGAGAGAGACTCTGTTTCAAAAAAAAAAAAAAAAAGGCCACATAAGATACACTAACGATAGCTGATGAGCTAAAAAAATAAAAATAAAAATAAATCACAAAAAATCTCACAATGTTTTAAAAGTTTATGAATTTGTGTTGGGCTGCATTCAAAGATGTCCTGGGCCGCATGTGGCCTGCAGGCTGGACAAGCCATTAAAATAATGGCAAAAACAGCGATTACTTTTGCACCAACATATAGTAAAATCTTGAACGCTTACCTGGGCTCCAACTAACTGGAGAAGTGCAAAGTTGACAGGAAGTACATCAATATCTGTGTTGATGGCAGTCTGGTCAAAAGGACAAGCTTTTCGATGAAGTTTATTCAAGCAGGTCTTGCAAACAGTGTGTGAACAACCTAAACTGATGGGTTTGTGCACATTCTCATCAAATTCATTATAGCAGATTGGACAGGACAGAAATTCTGTCCATTGAGCTGCCTGCACAGGCATTGTGGAAGCTGGACGCTCGGGTTAGCAGTCTAGCAGATCATTATTTTGCTGTGTAGTGTTTTGTAAGCTAGAAATGGACAAAAGTATGAATTAACCACATATTCATCATTCACCTTTCAAGAGTTAATTGCTTAAGTCAACCAATAGCTGCAGACCTAAAATACTTCTGAATAATTTTATAACATTTGGATGTATTTTTAAAAAAACCTATTTACTGAATTAATTAAATTTCTGAAATTCTGCATGGAAACAATACCTTAATAGTGTTCCTTTCAACTAAACTGTATTTATATTGGTTGCTTACATAATAATCATCAAAGCTTTTATGTTTTTTTCTCAATGACCACATCAAACAAGCAAATTAACTTTCCATATTCCATCTTTAGGAACACAAATTACTTTGGACCGCTGGGGTGTTTGTTTTGTTGTTTTGTTTTTTAAGTGTTTCCCTTGGATACCCAGTACCCCAAAACATAATAAGGTACGGCCAGGAGTTAGTGAACTTTGGAAACTACTCATCCAAATAATATTGTAGAGACTCAAGTGTGAAGAAAACAGCCTTGCCACCTTAAAGAGGAAATCTCTGACAAGACTTGGCTAGGAAGCAAAATGAGGTACTGAAAATCAACATATAAGAGAAGACTGTGATGAGTGAGAGATGATTAAGAGAGCTGTTGGTTCATAAATGAAAGAATAATGCTGACCACAACATAGAGTGCCAAAGTAAAACCAACAAAAAAATTGTCTTAAAAATCTTGTATTGTTCATTACAATACTTCTGACAAAACTATATTATTTAGTGATTGATATACATAACCAAAACTGTAAAGTCCAATGAGGAAGACGTAGAAGAAAAAACATTATTCTAAAAAGGTATATAGGCATGATTAAAAACTGAAAAGGCACATGTGAAAAAAAACAGTGAGAGAATTTTTCTTGTTTCTAAGATCAAAATATTCCTGCCGGGCATGGTGGCTCACACCTATAATCGCAGCACTGTGGGAGGCCAAGGCGGGAGGATCACCTGAGGTCAGGAGCTCGGGACCAGACTAACTAACATGGATAAACCCGATCTCTACTAAAAATACAAAATTAGCCACGTGTGGTGGCACATGCCTGTAATCCCAGCTACTAGGGAGGCTGAGGCAGGAGAATTACTTGAATCTGGAAGGTGGAGGTTGCAGTGAGCCAAGATCACGCCACTGCACTCCAGCCTGTTCAACAAGAGCGAAACTTTGTCTCAAAAAAAAAAAAATCCACAATTTTAGTAAAGTAAAAGATTTAGTAGCAAAACAACACTAATTTGAACACACTAAACTTCCTAGATTTTCTTTATCTTCCAATTCAAGACTTATATAAGTCTGACAAAAGCTCTCTGGTGAACAAGAAATCTAGGTATTTAGGGCAATTAAACAACCAATACTTTATTTCACAGGAATGTTTACCAACCCAAATATATTGGTTCCAAAGAAATTAGATGTTTAAAAATGTAGTCACATTCAGGAGAGAAAAAATATATAACTGAAACTATTTTCCATTATGCCAACATACAAAAAAATTCTATTAGCCTTTATTGTGTTTCTTTTTTTGTTTTTTTTTTTTTTTTTGAGACAGTCTTGCTCTGTCACCCAGACTGGAGTGCAATGGCGCGATCTCGGCTCACTGCAACCTTTGCCTCCTGGGTTCAAGTGATTGTCCCGCCTTGGCATCCCAAGTAGCTGGGATGGCACCTGCCATCATGCCTGGCTAATTTTCGTAGAGAAGGAGTTTCACCATGTTGGCCAGGCTGGTCTTGAACTCCTGACCTCATGTGTCTGGCTGCCTCAGCCTCCCAAAGTGCTGGGATTGCAGGCATGAGCCACCGTGCCTGGACCTGTGCTTTTATATTCACAAAAACCAAGATTAAAAAAAAAAAAACTTGGTAAAAATGAATTACAGAGCTTGCTATGTAAAAAAGCACCCGCATATAAACTTTCTCAAACAGCTCTAACGCAAATTATCTAAAATCTTATCTTTAAAGTAACCAAATCTTCCAAGTTATAATTTATTTTACAACTTTCATCCTCAAATTACCACATCTATTAATGCCATCAATCTAAAAACCAATTAGTTTCCTTCCAACTTTAGAGATGAGCACTGAGCAGGTGAATATATCACTCCCTAAAACTACTGAACATTTTTAACATGCAGTTTTCTGGTTTGCAGAGTTATACAATTAGAGGTCTTTGAGGAAGAATGAATTTCATCTTAAATCTACTGAAAGACCTAATTTAGTTAATAACTTGAACTGATTAAATATTTATGAAAACAGGACACTGCATGTAGTTTTTCATAATGGCCACCTGTTTGGAAATGTTAATTCTGTGGTTTAGGGTGTCACAGGCCACCTGGTAGTACAAAATAAGAGCAAATACCTTTTCCTTAGTTTTCCAAGGCCTTTCTCAAATGCTTTATATTAAAGCACGTAAGTGGGGGGTTGGGGGGGAGTTTCAACTAAACAGAAAAAAGCTATCTTTCATATTGTCACCTACTACATAGTTTTAAACTGCTTCAAACTATACCAGAGCACACTTAATAGTTTTATATTACAATAGTCCTTAGTGTGTTTAGGCATAGAAACATCAGAGGTTTTAACATAATTAATGCTGAGAAGTTTAATTTCTACCACAAATTGAATTAATACCTTTAAGATATAAAGAAAAAACACTGCCAAAATTTTGGCAATAACTCTACCAAATTTTCTTCTCTGTGTCAGAGTATAACTTTCTGATAGTAAATTATGAACTAAACTTCCCTTACCCGATCAGATATAAGAAATGCTTTTTCTAAAAATGTTTTTCTTCAGTGATATTATCAGTAAATCCTAGATTCCTTAATTAAGATAAATACAATATAAAATTTCACCTGAAACACAGAAGAAACTTCATTCCTTCAAAACAGGCACTTGGCAAATGTTTACCTAGAAAATATTTTTGTAACTACCAAAAATGGTAAATATTCTATGGTCTTTATAATTTAAAAAGCATATAAATGAACCATGGAGCACAAAGACTATATATTAATTTGCAAAACTTCTAGACCTATACTAATACATTTTATGCAACTCATTTGAGTCTATGTAAGTCTAAATTGCTACGAATATTTATAGTTACTACTGAAGTATTCTTCCCAAATAATCAAAACATTTCGAACTGAGATAAAATGGATTAAAAGGCCTACAACTCAAGATACCTAAAGTGATTCCTTAAGAAAAACATTCTAATTATTTGTATAAACTAATTTTAGTTACCAGTTACAAAAACTGAAGAAGGGTAACAAAATAAAGCATAGGAGTGAGAAATGCCAAATTAAAGGTGGGACCATAAACAGTTTTTCCCTCAAATAATTTTCCAGACTGCAAGTTCCTTGCTATGAGTGCTGACACACAAAACAGGAAGCATAATAGGCACCTCTTACATGATTCAAATTACAAACTGCTTTAATAAGAGCCAGCTAAATACTTTCATTTTCTCTTATTAGTCCACCATATTATGCAGCCAGTTCAGGTCTACAGCATCTGATTTTAAAATGCCAGAATAAAGTTTATGCTTCTTTAATTGTCATATATGTATAGAGCATTTTATAATTCTCTTAATAAAAATGTAAACATTAGGGCTTAGTTCTTCTAATTAAAACAATCATTGTTTTCATTCTAGTTAACCCATGTGAGGAATATAAGCTACTGAAATGGACTGTCACAGTACTTCCCAGTTTAGAAAACTTAAAAATAATTAGTTTTGTTCTTATAAAATGATATTTAAAGCATAAGTACAATTTGGATCTCAAGCTAATAGACAAGTAAAAACCAAAACACCAATGGAAACAACTTGTAAGCTAGAAACTCTGCATTGGAGAAAAAGGAATTGAATTGCAATTTAAAAGACTGCTATAATATGTGACTTTGCTGTTAACATGTGAAGTATATATGACTCAAATTTTACTTCTTAAATACACTATGGGGTTGAACTCAGTTTTAAAATAACTATTAGATATAACTTCCAATGCATTCTTCTTTTTTTTTTTTTTTCATTCTGTTGCCCAGGCTAGAGGGCAGTGGTGCGATCTTGGCTCACTGCAACCTCCGCCTCCCGGTTTCATGTGATTCTCCTGCCTCAGCCTCCTGAGTAACTGGGATTACAGGTGCACACCACCATGCCTGGCTAATTTTTGTATTTTTAGTAGAGACGGGGTTTCACCTGTTGGTCAGGCTGGTCTCAAAGTCCTGACCTCGTGATCCACCCACCTTGTCCTCCCAAAGTCCTGGGACTACAGGCGTGAGCCACTGCGCCTGGCCTCAATGCATTCTAATAGGGCAGTAATGAGATAACTTCTTTTTTTTGTTTGTTTTTGAGACGGAGTTTCACTCTCGTTGCCTAGGCTGGAGTGCAATGGCGGGATCTCGGCTCACTGCAACGTCTGCCTCCCAGGTTCAAGTGATTCTCCTGCCTCAGCCTCCCGAGTAGCTGGGATTACAGGCATGCACCACCAAGCCCGGCTAATTTTTTGTAATTTTAGTAGAGATGGGGTTTATCCATGTTGGTCAGGCTGGTCTTGAACTCCCGACCTCAGATGATTCACCCACCTCTGCCTTCCAAAGTGATGAGATTACAGGCATGAGCCATCTTTCTATTTTAACAAATATAACTAATATTAGTGATGACTAGAAAAATACTTTTTTTTGAGATAGAACTTACTTCTGCCTATCAAATAATAGCCAATGGATAACTTCATCCTTCATATTACCAAAGTCCTTAGCTCTTTAATTATTCTGATTGTAGCAGGATAATCTATCTGGAAGTTTTGGATTTTTATACATCTACTTTTATTCCAATATATTTCTTGGAAGAGTAATGCTGATCTACAACAGTAATGTCCAACAGAAATATGTGAGCCATTATAATCCAAGTAATTTTTAATTTTCTGGTAGTCACATTAAAAAAGGTTAAAAAAGGCCAGGTGAGCTGGCTCACACCTGTGATCCCAGCACTTTGGAAGGCCAAGGTCGGAGGTGGGTGGATCACTTGATGTCAGGAGTTCTAGGCTCGCTTGGCCAACAT